AAATATTCTGTTTGTGGAAAAGAAAAGTTTGACTTCTGTGTGGCTGCTGGTGTTTCTCTGCTGTGTCCAGGAGAGGGCAGCAGACGACAGCAAAGAGGTGGAAGGCTTCCAGCAGCTGCTGCTGGCCAGAACCCAGGTAAATATCATCATCATCATCATCACCGTGGATCACTCAGCTGTTTCACTCTGATGTCACGCTCATTTCAGAAGGTTTTCATATCCCTTCTGTTTAAATTGTGTGTGTGTGTGTGTGTCTGTGTCTGTGTGTGTGTGTGTGTGTGTGTGTGTGTGTTTCCTTTGGAGGCCTCTTGTGAACACTGGCATTACTGAATAATAATTTACTTTGGCTGCTGACAGAGGAAGTACGAAGCACGTTCTCATTACGCGTGCACAGCCAATAGCGACATCTGCTGGATGCAGATATATTGCATGTGACAGTGGGGGAGGAGTCTGTGAGGGTGGAGCAGACGACACTGTGATGTGTAGCCAGAGTGGAGAGATGAGCATGCAGGTAGAGAAGGTGGATGAGTTTAAGTACCTGGGGTCAACTTTCCACAGAGAGACGAAGAACAGAGTGCAGGTAGGGTGGAGCGGGTGGAGACGAGTGACGGAAGGAGAGCAGCGAGGCTGAGAGACTGTTTAAAGATGGTAGTGAGACCTGTGTGGTGATTTGGAGACAGTGGAGGCTGAGATGTTCAGATGTTCACTGAGAGTGAGAAGGATGGAGACGAGTCCATGAGAGGGACAGCTACGAGTCAGAGAGGTGGTCTGAGCATGTGCAGAGGAGGGAGGGTGGTTATGATGGAGCTGCCAGGCAAGAGGAGACGAGGAGGACCTCAGAGGATGTAGTGAAGGAGGACGTGCAGAGGGTTGGAGGCAGCTGCTGTGGTGAAACGACTACTTTGACACTTTATAAACGTGTAACAGCTTTGGTCAGCGCGCACGTGAACAGCTGTTTTAAGCTTAAAAAGTACTTTTACTAGATTTCTAAGTAACTTTGAACACTTCAGTTCCTGATCCTGTCGTCTTCCTTCCTCTCGTCCTCTGCAGGAGTTCATCGAGGAGATTCTCTCTCCGCCGTTCGGAGGGATGATCGCCTTTGTGAAGGAGGCCGAGGCGCTGATGGAGAAAGGGCAGCTGGACCGGCTGAAGAACGACGAAGGTGAGAAAATCTCTTTACCTGTGAAGGCTCAGGTGTTACATGGGATGTGAGTAAAGCTGTCGTCTGATTGGCCGATTCCTTTCTGTCTGTTATTTCTACCAATGTGGGCGGTTAGCATCATCCATAATGCTGACGTGGCCGGATTAGATTCAGGATTAAATCGAGCTGGTTATTCTTTTGGTTTCCGCGTCGTCTCCTACGTCTGCGGCTGTCAGTCGCTCAGTTCGTTGTGTGTGAGCGGCAGCGTGGCGTGCTTCTCTCGCCTCAGCCTTTGGTTTTGTTTTCCAGAGTAACAGCACCTTTATTTCTCGTTCAGTCTTTGTGCTTTCATGTCAGTCAGAGTCAGGTTCCCACTTCCTGTTCACCACGTCGTGTGTGCTCGCTGTGGTTCTTTGTTTTGTTTGACCAGCATGTTTGACAGGAAGCTGACCCCAGCAACACGATGGCGAGGAAACCGAGAGTCAGCATGCACACGGAAACTGAAACTTAACGTGTATGTGTGTGTGTGTGTGTGTGTGTGCAGCTCGAATCACGCAGCTGGTTCGGGGGTTTTCCAGCACATGGAAACAGTCGGTGGAGGCGATGAGTCAGGACGTCATGAGGTCCTTCACCAACTTCAAAAATGGAACCAGCATCATCCAGGTGAGCCGGGCGGCAGGTGTGCCTCTGTGGGCTGACTGTGCTGTGACACCAGGTTTCCAAAGGGACAGAAACATACAAACTGGCTACAAAGTGACACAAAACTTAAAACAAAGATTTAAAACGACGACAAAAACGACACAAAAGGTCCAAAAAGTGAGAAAATGTCTCCAAACGGATGCAAAACAGTGAGACAGTGAAGAAAAATAAACGGTCAATAAAGTCTAAAATAACCTGCAGAGGCGTGAGAGTGAAACGAGACACTAAACTATGTTAAAGAAAATGAAACTGAGAACAAAACATGCACATGTTCATATTTGAGAAGCAGAAATCAGACAAACTAACAATGAGCGCGATGTTTGTAAACATGTCTGACTGCACAGTCACAGGTCAGCCTGAGGGACACGCTGAGAGGCGCTGTCATACGTTTACAGTTAATCTTCAGATTTCTGTCTCGTTCTCTTTGATCACCAGCAGGATGCACGACCAACACAGCCGCGTTCTAATTCGCCGGCTCTCTGCTTCAGGCTCTGAGCGCGCTCACACTAGTAAGGCGTGTTTCACGTGCCCACACGCTTCAGACACAGTGGGCACACAAACCTCAGGTTCAGCTTCACGAGCTTTCTTCTTCCAGCAGAGAAGAAGCACGCTGTAAAGAACGGGTTTGAACTTCATGTGTTTAGTTTTACTAACGTGGTCACATCCTCCCCCCGCAGGGCGCCCTGACGCAGCTCATCCAGTACTACCACGGCTTCCACAAAGTCCTGAACCAGCCCACGTTCCGCAGCCTGGCCGTCCGCTCCGAGCTCATCAACCTCCACCACCTCATGGTGGAGGTCAAGAAGCACAAGCCCAACTTCTAACGGGGTCGGGGGTCAGAGAGCCGGCGAACGCACCGACGCTGCTGCGGGTGGAGGTGACAGTTCTCTGCAGAGTGTTAAGAAAGACTTTTGTCTCCAGATGAAGGAGCCGATCAGGTCAGAGGAGGAGAGTGAATTTT